TCTCTCTCTCTCTCTGTCTGAAATTGGTCAACTCTCAGGGTCTCTGTCCTTCGTCTTAAAGGAAATGTCTCTGTGTTCGAAGCAACGCCGGCATCGACGAGCACAAGGCACCCATTCAAAATGTCTCGGCAGGAGAGATTTTCTAGTTATCAAAATACAGTTCAACACTTTAATATCTCTATATTACATAAACTTCATTTCTGATATTGTGTCTGTGGCCTGGATGTGCACATTCAACCTGAGGGAAGTTGCTCCTGAAATGTCTTTGCAGCTGTCAGTCCACAGCCGTCTCTTTTCTCCTCATGCACACTCAGCTGGACCTCGCTAACATGCTAAAAGAGTTAGCAGAGTCCTAACGGAGCAAACACACCCAATGGTGTCCGGTCTCTGCATGTTTGCTGTCGTGGAAACAGAGAGAGGAATCTAACTGCTCGCCCCTCTGCCCATAGATCACCGACTTCCATGAATCAAGAACTGCTGAAATCGGCTCAAGCTATTTTTAGAGTGAGTAGAGTTAGACAGCGTTTGCAGTTTTTATTAAACTATGTAACTGAGTTGTTGCCATTTTGGAAAAAATAAAAGTGTTGTGACATACCTGAAATCCCTGAAACTGCAGAAATGTACTTTGAACCCTCCCTCGTCGAGTGAAGCCGAGGGTCTGTATGGAAACAAATCCAAACCTGATTATTGTGTTATATAAGGAAGAGAGCTTGTTCTGTGTGCGTGTGTGTGCGTGTGTGTGTGCGAGACAAATGGATTTCAGATGTACGTGAAGTGAGGAAAGTGTAGGGGGGAAGTTTTCCAACTGAGCCCGCCCTCTAAGTTTGCTGCATACACCCAGGAATGCACACACACAGAGACACACACACACACACACACACACACACACACACAGACACACACTGTGTCTGTGTGTGTGTGTGTGTGTGTGTGTGTACAAAATAACTCAACAACACAAATAATAGACGATCTAAAGTTGATGATTGATTATAGGATCAGTTAAGAAGTGAAAAAGTCAGACGATTACGTCAAAGTGTAGTAATGTAGACAGTTTTTCTAGAAGCTTTGAATCTGAGGAGAACTTCACACACAGGGTTTGTTTCCTTTCAAAGACAGAAGATTTCAAGTTAAAAGTACTTTTCTTTACGTAGAGCCGAAACTGTTAAATCAGTTCCTCCTTGTAAAAACAGCTGAACATTAACTTATGTTGAAACAACTTCTGCTTTCACTTCATGCTTGAACGACGGGGAAACATCTCAGTTGATTGTCCCTCCACACTGTGTTTCACTGGATCATCAGAATGTCTCGTCTCGTCCCTCTGGCCGTGGTCGTCCTGCTCTCCTGTGGAACGTGGCGTCCGGCTGCGGCTGATGTTGGTGATTTTGCTCCTTGCCTGCAGTTCTTCTACAGGTCATGGCCTCCTAAAGGTCTGGTGGGGACCCCGATCTGCCAGCGCTTCATCAACCAGTATCGGTTTGCCACGTTGTACAATCGAACTCGCCGCTCGCCGTGGTTCTCGGCCTATTTGTACACAGTGCCGGTGGGAAAGAGGCCCTCAGCTTCCTGGAAGTTTGAGCCACAGGTAAGGATGTTTGAATTCTGTGTGCTTGTTGTTCTCCACAGAGAATTTGTCCCACGTGATCTGTGAACTTTGCCTCAGTTTTCACTGATATAATCCACGTGTTTGCTGTCAGACATATTGTTTGTCAGCGTGATTCTAGAAGACAAAAACAACCGAGTTCTGATTTTGTCTCTTTGTGTTGATGCTTCTGTTCCAGTTTAGTGTCAGTTAGATATCGATGTGTTTCACTCTGTTTTGAAACAGTAAGACAACAAACAGTGAAATGAGGAAGTAGGACTTAAACAGTGCTTCTCATTGCCTTTTTTTGGGAACTGTTTTTGTTCCTTGAGCAGGTACAACAACACACAATGAATATTTTTGTTTATATATTCTTTACATACCCCCCCCCCTGTAGCAATACATATACAGATACACATAAAATACATAAGTAAGTACATAAATCATTTTTTTGACAAAAGAAATAATTTTAACACAATAAGCAGGTCAGTGATAAAACACGCCCAGCAGCTGGTCTGACACGCCCCCTCACAAAGCCAGGTTATCAGGGAACAACATTTCATGGTTAACGGGGGGGGGGGGGGGGGGGGCGGGGGTCTTAAAGAGACAGGAGCTAAAACCAAGTGTTTGAGACAGCGGCTGAAAAGAGGAGCTTGTAAAGTTTATCACAACAATTAGTTTGATTGTTATATAAAAGTGTTCAGGATGAAAATCAGTCCATTGTCCACTTAATTTTCTCCATGTTTTGTAAAAGCAGTTTCCCTCTGAATTACATGATGAAGCATAATGTCTTCACTTTTTTCTTCCACCCTCCAATGAACAGTTAGCGTACCCAGGAGCCGATGGCACCATGATCCCCTTCCCTCCCGGCCCTGTGGACCAGAACGTGGTGGACAGTCAGGCGGTGGGGCACGACTACATTAATTCCACCTACTCCCGGGGCCACATGAACCCCAGCCTTCACCATCGGAGCCATGAAGACCGCTCTTCCACCTTCACCCTCACTAATGTGGTTCCTCAGAAGGCCGGCTCTAACGATGGCCCCTGGGAGGTCCTAGAGCAGACCGTTAACAAAACCCTGGCGGCCTACTGCCTTGGAGATGCGTACGTAGTGACCGGGGTCATCCCCTATCAGAGCGAGGAGCACTGGCTCAAGAATCATCGTGTGGCTGTGCCGGAGTATATCTGGTCGGCCTACTGCTGCCCAAAGTACAACAACAGTCTTCCAGAGGAGCTGAGGGACGCCTTTCCCACATATGCTGCCATCGGCCGCAACGACTGCAACAGCACCGAGGAGATCGTGCCCGTTGACCCGACGGCTAAGAAACAGTTCAGAGGATATGACGTGAAGCGGATGCCGCTGGAATTACTGGAGCTGTATCTGAAGGACCGGTTCGCTGCTGTCGTCAGTGTTTTTTATGAGCAGTGCTCTGGATCGGACTAATTAGTTCTAAATGATTTTATTTTATTTTTTTTTTTTTCAAATGCGTCTCCAGCAAAATGACAAAAGACTAAAAAGTGTGCCACAAAAGCTGCTCGAGTAAAAAGAAGCCAACTTTGACTTTAACACATTTTAGGGTTTTGTTTTTTTCTGAATTTGTTTTGGTAAAACAGACACAACACAATATAAAGAAAGTTTAATAGAAAACAGGATGAACTTTATGACACTTTGTTCCTGACAGACAAAAGTTATACTTCACATGGAGTCACTCACACATAAATAAATAAAATTTAAAAAATAGATACAATTAGCTTAGCTCAGCATAAAGTCCTTATGCTAAGCTTAGCTAATTGAATCCTTGCATCCAGGCGTTATGCTAAGCTAATCTAAGCTAACTGGCTGCTGGTTGTAGCCTTTTATCTAACGAGCAGATACAAGTTATTTATTTTAAATGAATATCTAACTTTATAGAAAATGGATCTAACTTTTTTGGAGGGAAGCTGAGCTGCTCTGGACGAGCAACTCCGACCTCACAGAAATAGATCTATAATAAACTAATGCTGCACCCAACACTTACGACCAGCAGATGGCGTCCCTGCGCTATACAGGCAGCATATGAGACTGAACTTGCTGCAACTTCAAGGAATTAACTTTATTAAGTTTCATCTGCATAGAATCAGTCGGTTGTTCAAACAAACACCTTTTATTATGATGAACTTAATATTCTTCTTTATTTTTAAAACAAATCGTTTGCATGAGACATGGGGCATAAATGTACAAGTACAAATTGTCTTTGTTTCAAATCAAGATCAAATAATGAAATGTACAAATGACTCATTTTGATCAAAAACTCACTCGGAGGGTTTCGACTTGACACTTTGCAGAGTTGTTCTTTATTTGGAATGATCAGTGAGACACATGTTACGTCATCAGACTCGCTGTGGATTTATTGCATGAACAGATGGAACAAAAGGGTTAAACATTTCTAACACGACACGCCGGTGTGTCAAACTGGATTACTTTGAGAAAACCTGAATCACCAGCTCAGTAGTGTTGGCCCATCGGGGGCGAGAAGAGCTTGTCCCACACCTCCACCTTCATGATGGCTCTGCCCATCGGGGACATGGTCGCCTTGATGTCCAGGTTTGAGCCCTCGAACGTGACGCCGCTGCCAACAGCCTCCATCCGCTTGAATCCCTGTTCTTTGTTGTAATACATCTCTTTGTACAGCCCCTCGTTGCACTCTTTGCCCTGTTGATAGATTCCCACTGCAAACCAGTTCTTGTACATGCCGTAGTCGTAGGGCACAGAAAACATTATAGCGACTTTCTCTGTGGCTTTATTGTTGCGCCGCTCAAACAGGTCGTAGGTCAGGACGCCCACTGCACCGGAGGCTTTGGCGCTGGTCTTGGTGAAGTTGCACACTTCAGTTTTCAGTGGGCGCACGGTGGGCTGGGGGGGGCTGTGGCAGTGGCCACTTTCCAGGTAAATCCTGTTTTTGAAGAGAGAACAAATTAGAACAATGAGCTCATTAACTTGTGCAGTTTGTCTGGACAGAGGAACGGAACATGAGAGTCGGTTACCTGGGGTCCAGTAAGCAGTAGTTGTTGGTGAGGTTGGTGATCTCGATGGTGATGTTCCTTCGGCTCGTCTGACTGGCGGCCAAAGCCTCTGCAGATTCACTCATCTTGTTGCTGGTGAAGCTGCGATGGAGGAGGAAGTATATAAAGATGTGAGCTGCAGGTTTGTGTTACAGCATGTACACACTGCTGCTGACCACAATGCAACAACTTCTACAACACAATCCAGTGAACACTTGTCTGTAAACCCAGCGCTGACTTACCTGTGTGGATCTCAGGTGTGCGTCTCACTTGGGCTGTGGCAGGTTTGAAGCACTGGACTCTCTCTTCAGTTCATTTCTGTTGGGGAACGTGTCTCCCCGCCCACAGCGCACACACCTTGTGCACAACCATCCTCCCGTCTGAGTTTTGACTCAGGTATGTGCAGCAGATGGAGATGTGAACGCTGGGTGTAACCAACACTAACAACATGTCTTTTTTTCTCCACTGGTTTATTCTCAACAGGTTTGTTGAGATTTTCCTGTCATTGCATCACACCACCGTCTCTTCAGGCACCACACCTTATCTTTTAGGTGTGTACGCTGATTTTCATCGTCTGCACGGGGAGACGAACATTTACTCTGACTGGTGTGTTTATTGGAACTAGTTTGGTCCCTGTTGTAAAAGTGTGTGTTTGTAATGTTGTGTTCTCTTGTCTTGTGTTCACACTTCACAATTATTCCTCGTCATTAGTGAGTCGCGCTCTAACTCTTCCACAATATTATGATTGTTTGTGTGCAGAGCTGTTGTATAAACAGTCTGTGGTGCAGAGTGAAGTTAAGAAAACATTATGTGCATCCTACCTGGTTTATCTGCACTGTAGATTTTATGAACTTACATTCAGCTCGACTGCAAAAAAACAAAAGTTGTGCTTTGACTTTGTGATTCTGTGAACATCTCAAAATGACCTGATGGCAATTTTTGACCCGGGTTGTGACAGTTACCCACCATTGATGCCCCGCCCCGTCCCACTCGCTGACTGCTACTCGTGCTGGTCACCTGTTATTTAAATTCTATTACAGCAGCGTCAGCACTTCAGCTGTCGACTGAGGAGATGTTCAACTTACTTTTCATTTTCTGGTCTGTTGTGATCGATGATCAATAAAAATCAAGGACGAGAAATTGGTCGGACTGTTTTTTAATTCATGAAAGCACCAATACATGACAGGAAGTACACGCACATTGTTTGTAGTTCTTCAGGAATATTTAGCTTCAACTGTGTTTTATCGTTTATTCTCATTTGGTGCAGAACTCTTTATTCTCACAGGAGCACGAACACACTCATCTCCCCATCTGGTCGTACAACTCAATTTTAACAATGCCTTTGTTGTCATCACACATGCAGCCCCTCACTTCCACTGCTTCCTTGTCAGAGCAGTACTTCACCCCGCTGCCGTCGGCCTCGTGGCGCATGAAATCTGGGAAATCTTTGTTATTGTACATGTATTTGAACAGATCTTTGTCATCCCGCGTTTTGTCAAAGAAGCCAATGGCCAGATAGTTCTTGTAGTAGGTGTAGTCAAAGGGCACTGAGAACATGATGGCCATCATCTTTGCACAGGTGCGACTGTGCATGTGGAACAGCTCATAGGTCAGGACGCCCGCGCAACCTGTCGCCGTGTTGTCGTCCTTGATGAAGGAGCACACCTCGGTGTTGTTGGTGCGCACGGTCGGCTGAGGAGGGCTGTAGGAAAAACCCACGTCCATGTGAACTCTGCAGAGAAGGACGGTATAAAGAGGAGATTAGTTACTGAAATAAAAGTACTGATTCCGTAATACTCTATTACAAGTAAAAGCAAGACTTTCAGCGTAATTAATCAAAACATCAAAAGTACTCGTGCAGAGAAACTGATTCCTGTGACTAGTTATATTGTGCAGTGGAGTATAAGTATAAAGTAATTCCAAATGGAAATACAATACAAGCTCCTCAGAGCTGAACGGGAGTACTTGAGTAAATGTACTTAGTTACTTTTTGTCTCTGGTAATCATGCAGAAATTCCTTTATCAGACTCTAAATGACTGAACCCCTATACATCTTCATCATCCTCTTCATCATCGTCATTGATTCTTACTTTGGGTTGACGAGACAGAAGTTGGCGCTGATGTTGCTGATCTCTATGGTGCAGGTGCGGTTGGGGGTGAGGGTGACGGAGTGCGACTCTGCATTCTCAGGCATGGTGACGGCTGCTGGGAGGCCTGACGGACAGAGCGAACAGCAACCAGTCAAGAACCAAACAAACCGATTCAGACAGAAGCTTTTCATTAAAGTACAATCACTGAAACACACTTGAAGTCAAAGAAACTATTTCATCTCAACATGAATTAAAAGAAACTCCACAGAATTGTATCCATTAATATTTATATATATAATTATAATATAATATTACGTTTGTTTTTCTAAGCAGCTGCAGCTCTCATGAAATCTCAGGTTAAATGTACTCACTTGACTTTAAGTCGTGCACACAGGAAGGCAGAGAGTCGTCTGACAGGAGGCGGCAGGTTGCTGTGGAGGTAGCAGTCAGACACACCCTCTCAGCCACGCCTCTCGTACTGCAGGAGTATCCTCACCTCTGTGTTCTGCTCGTCTGCACCTATGAGCTTCTCATGTCAGTTACATGTAACGAGGGTTCAGGTTTGGATTTGTCTTTATCATCCCTGCTTGACAGGTCACAGGCGTTGGCGCTGAAATACCAGAATGTCTGGTTCGATTTAAAGGGCAAAGAGCAGCAGCCGCACCCGTCAACCCCTGTCCTGATGACGATGACTCATTTTGGACGATGAAGGCCAAATCCTCCAGACGAGTGCTTCTGAAAGAACGAATCAATCAGCAGGTGAGAGTCAATGTTTTCATTTGATACAACAGGACTCTTTGTCTTCTCCTGCTCCGCAATATGACTGTGAATCACAGACACACACAAACCACCACAGTGTGACACAAAGTAAAGCAAAACACATGGATAACGTCTGCAGGGACACAAAAAGAGGTGGACACAAAATAAAAGGTGATGCAAAAAGAGACACACACAATCACAAGGAGATTCAGGATGACACAAAACAGTGAGTCACAAAATGATCTGGTGCAAAACAGCTGCATCTTCGAAGAGTTGCATAAAAATACAGAAACCAACCAATGAAGATTCAAAACAACTAAAAAATAGTTACAAAATAATTTGAATTAAGATGCACAACTACGACAACTAGGTGCATAACAACCACAGAGCTACAAGAAGAGACACAGACAACCACAAGGAGACGCAAAGAGACACACCCAAAGACAAACAGACAAAGAAAATGAGACACAACCACAAAGAGATAATAAATAAAATGGTTGACATAAAAACTACAAATTAACATAATCCAGAATAGATACATAACCACGACAAGGAAAACACAAAGTCACAACATAGATGCAGAAAGAGACAAATACCATCAAATGAAAAACAGCCATGAAAAGATGAAAAACAACACAGACACACAAAGTCGGCACAGAGACACAGTCATCCAAAAAATGCAAAAAGAGAGACACACATTCCCAAAGAATGAAAAAAACTGAAAAGTGTTTTTTCAATTATAAGTTGCAGGCAAACATGGAAATCGTGATGCAGAAATAATGAATAAAGATGCTAAACAACTACACAGCTCCAACTCGTGAGGGACACCTGAGCTACAAGAAGAGACACAAATCACGATGCAACACACAAAGGCCTCCTGCAGAACAAGCTCAGTTGTTGCCCTTCTTTAGTTTGTACAATTCTAGCGCCATCTTGTGGTCAAGAGGAGACAAACAGATGAATTTCTAGTGAAGCAACAACTGTTTGAAAGCGTGTGTGTGGACATAATAAATCACGACTTCATTAAGAAACCAAACGTGGAGATAAATTCATCTGAATCATTTGTCAGGAAACATTTCATGTTCTTTTTACAGTCGAATATAGAACGGAACACATTCTGATCTGAGAACAGACCAATAGCAAAAAGGGATAATAAATGTTTTAAAATAACTATACGAGAAAGTTAGGAGCTGATTTTAAAAACACATACACCTCCTTTAAAGCAAAACTTTCTTTAACGTAAGTTGCTAAATAAACACAGAGTCAGTCTGGAAATTAAAAAAATATTTTAAATGTTTTAAGAATGGGCGAAAGTGAATTGTTGTAAAAAAGCACTTGAAGTTGGAGAAAGCTCCATTTTTCTTCATCGTTGAAACATAAACACTTGAACAAAAAGAACGACCCACGATGACAGAATCCATCTTTAAAGAACATTTATTTAACGTGATTGTGATTTGTTTTGTTTTGTCCTTTTCCCATCTACTAACATGGAGGAGGCGGGGTTTATGACCTAAACACCTCAGCCTGTGACTGAGATGGTTTTAGTTTCGGGAGCTGTCATGTCATACATCTTTATTCACAGTCTGTGGTCCACACTCAACATAGTGAATTCACTAACGCCACCTATTGACAGAGGAAGGGCACGACATGACAACCTGACAACTCACGACCAAGAGAAGTAGCAAGTCAGTTTTGGGTTTTGTTACCTTGAGTTAAAATCACATTTGATTTACACATTATCATCTAATACGTCATAAAAGCATCGTAGCAAAAGGGAACTTTGTTTCTTAGGGACTATTTTCAGCAGCGGACTTTTACATATTAACACTTGAATCGGTTGGAATGTCCTGAGGGAACATGGCTCCAGCACTGATAGACTTCAGACCCGTCTTCTCTTCTATCCATCGGTTGTAATTGGTCACTCGGGTGTAAACGCCGGGTCGAAACTCCTTGGCGCAGCCATCACCCCAGCTGATGACTCCGAACTGAAAGAACCTGTTGTCGACCTCGCACACCAGAGGCCCGCCTGAGTCTCCCTGTGGGACGGAGACGAGCAGCGTGAGAGGAAGTTCAGCAAATCAAGAATCGAGTCCAGACATGTAGAAATACATCGCAGGCGTCCTGGCTCCAGTCGGGTCTCCCGGCACAGAACATGTTGTCGGTGATCATGTTTGCATAATAGTCCCTGTGTCGACACACGTCGTCAGCGAAGAGGTTCACCTGAGCCTCTCGGAGATACTGAGACCGATACCACAACCCTGGAGAAGAAGAGTCGTTAAAATATTCAACCACCTTCTACCGTTTGTAGAATGAGTTTAATTTAAGGAGTTATTATATTTATAGTTTATCCATCAAAGACAAGTGTCTGGACACCACCACCAGTACGAAGCCGTCAGATACCACGACAGAATCCAAAGAACTTCCCTCACCGTGTCTTTCTTTCCCGTATCCGGCGATCTCACAGGTGACACCAGGCTGGAGGTTCTGCAGAGGCGGCGGCAGACAGACGAGCTTCACCATGTTACTCTCTTCTGCACACTGACCACTTCGAGCCTTCAGCTTCACCAACGCTGCAAGAGTCATGGCTTTGATTACACCATCATCAATACTCCTCATTCCCACTCCTCGCCCTGAACATCTGTTCTCGCTCTCTAGCTGTTTTCAGTGAACGAGTCTGACCCAGACAATCTGCTGCTGCTGCTTCACAGGACAAACACTAACTACACAAAATGTCCAGACAGCTGAACTGTAATATCCAGTGTTCAGTTCAGTGAGTGGGATGACACAGTCAGAGTCTCATTCAACAAACTGATAAACTTGCAGGAAAACCACTTCACTCTACAGCAGATTAATCCCCATGTGTGGCTGCAGAGGGCGCTGTTGCAAAGGGTGCATAGTGTTGCTTTAAGGTCAAGGTGAGGAATAAGGTTAACGATGTTTGAACCATGTATCGATGGATTCTGAATGAAGGAAGACAGACGAGGATTTCTAAACCTTATGGATATGTAACGGTATCAGACGCAAGTTATTATTTTTTATGTTTTCAAACATGCCTGGAGGGAATCTCAAAGCGTCTAAAGTACCGATATCATGGTTGAAGTTGCCCTCGCTGTTGTCGAAGCCTTCATGGACGATGATCTTCTCTACTCTGAATGTCTGCTCGGTTGGGTCACTCTCGTTCAGAGCGTTTTTCCCCAGGGCGACGGAGAAGCGCCGTTCTTTGGCGTGGGAGCTGAAACACAAGTTCACAAGAATCGGTCCAGTCCTGCAGCTCAGCACCTGCTGTGGTTCCAGTAAATGATCTCACTTCCTACCCATCGGGAAAGCAGTGGGCGGCGGTGAGGACCCAGCAGGCTGAGATCAGACTCCCCCCGCAGCGGAAAACCTTCTCCTTGGATTTGATGCGCCAAAATATGGCAGCGACCCACGGGTGTGATTCCAATGTGGTAACTGTTCCACCGACAATCTTCATTTGCTTTCGTCTGTTGCGCCGCCCACATTCTGCAGCTGGAGGATTTAACAAAGTTCAAAACAATCAAAGGGAAAGCATGATGATGGGACACGGTGAGTTTAGTGAGGAGTTGGGCTACAAGACTCGGGAGCAGGTGGCTTTGTGTCGACGTCTGTTTCCACATCATTAGCGATTACTTCACCGTTTAACTTTTTTATTTTATTAATGGTTGCCTTCGATGGTTTGTATTTTGAATTATATTCATTTACATAAATAAAGTTATAATAATTATTATATTCCTCATTATCTTGAAAGGACCCTGATCTTACCTCTAATCATACGTCTAATTTTACCTGAGGTCTTGGACTCACCTGGCTGCGGCTCTGTGGGTGCAGGTGACGGTGGAGCTGGAACCACAAGATCAGAGATTTTTTTTAAACTCTGGATTACATTTTTTTGGACTTTTATATTTTCTCGCACAGCAGCGAGGAGACGGTAAACTTACGTGACTCTGAGCCGCAACGTGGAACATCACAATACTCCCGCACCAGCTGCTGGTTTCTCCAAACATGACACCACGGACGTCGTCTATAGAAAAGATTTCTGTCGAAAAAAAATGATCATACTGATTTTCATTGATATGTTTTCATACGATGCACTGAGTAGTAAATCTACGTACCTAATTTATTGATATTTATTATCATTTTCTAATTAATCAAACACAAACTAAACCTGGAAAGTCAGAGAATTCAAAGAATGAATGAATGAATTACTAACTCAATGAAGAATTAACTTTATATGACTTTTAAGATATATGTTGCATATTGATAAAATGTAATTATTTATAAATTTAAAAAAGTACTTTTACTTTTACTTGAGTTTGTCTATTTATTTGTACTTTACTTAATCAAAATGTTTGAGCACTTCCTCCACCACTGAATATTACTACCAGCAGCAGGATAGAAACTTTAAGCTCTTATTAAATCACATGTGACTTTTTTAAGGTTAAGTTCTTTATAACAGTGGCCTTATGGTACTTTTGAGGTTTTTTCAACTCTGTGTGATTCTAACTGATAACAACATGTACCTGCAGTAGTTGTGTCTCCCTGCTTTGACATCTGATGACATGAATCGCTCTCTGGTTTCTAAATCCCACTCCTCGCATGTCCGTCCACTCTGGGACCTAGACACCCGTCCTCTGTAGTACAGTCCCACGCCCTCGTAGCACTGACCACCTTTGGCTGAAGTGACAGATGGGATCTTTATTATATTCAAAATATAAAAAAGATGAATGTAATTTTCTCCTCACCTGTTTCACAGCGTCTTCCCTCAAAACCATCAGCACACAAACAGAACATGTGTTCACCGGTGGTCAGTGATGGGACAGAGGTTCCTCCGTTCAGACAAGTTCCACCTGACGAATGAAATCACAAACATTTTAAAGAACTCGGTAACTCAACATACAAGGCCAGAGACTCGTGTAGAGTTTCTCACCTGAACTCTCAAAGGAGGAGGAGAATGAAGACGAAGAAGAGGAGGAGGAAGAGGAGGAGGAAGAGAAAATAGAACGTTTCATCCATTTTCTTTCCTTCAACAAGACCAAAAAATCATAGAGAAGTTAGATCAGTGTCTGTAAAAATAAAGATTAAACTTCTCTTAGAGTAAAATTGAAATGTTCTTAACTGCTCCAGTTGTTGTCAGAGCTGCAGAGATCCAGATCAACACGCCGAGGCTTTTCATCGTTATTGCGTTTGCTCCGTGAATGAATGTGAATGCAGTGGAGCTGCAGAGACTCCTGAGGGTTTAATCTGTTTGTGTCTGAGCGCAGGGAGGAGCGGAGGGAGGTCCGTGATTGGCTGAGGTCGTCTCTGGCATTTGATTTTGAAACAGATGCTTAGTGAGTGAGTCACAGCTCATTAATCCCAGACTGGAATTTTATATCTAATCATTTCATATTGTCATGTTGTCCCCTGTTAGGTCAGCAGGTGGCAGTAGTTAGCCGTGGATTCACTGTGGACTGGTGTTGGTGAGTGTGGAGCAATGACCGCAAATAAAGATGGACGACATGTCAGCTCCTGAAAAGTGAAGCCAAATCATCTTGAATGCCCCCTGGTGGCTGGCAGCAGTGTAGGTCATAAACCCCCCAAATGTAGACATTAAGTAAAAGTTTGACAAAGATGGTTTCCTTCATTTCAGCTCCTTCTTCTCTCTCTGATGTTCGTTCAAGTGTTTCTGATCGGTTTGGTTCGAATCAGTAATTTGATGACAGAAACAGGCGGAGACTCGGTGAACGTGTTTATTACAGAAACACAATGAAAAAAAAGTTCTGCTCAACAACAGACATTTAAGACTTAAGTTCTTTTCAGGAATAAAAGTAGATTTTTTACAAGCTACATATTTAACATTTGTTCTTTCAGCATCTTTTTTATAAAAGCAAAATGATCCAATGTGCTTGAATCAGTTCAATAAATCGCTGTTGCCCTGAGTTTATCCCTGTGTGTCATAACGGAGCAGACTGTGACGTCACGAGCCACGTCACTTTAACAGGTGAACAAACTTCCATCTGTTTCTTATGACGTAATGATTCAGGATGAAGATGAAGTTTCCTCAGTTTTATCGCTGCAGCTGAATCTGCAGCCCACGTGTCAATGAAGGAAGTTTTCATCAATCAATGAATGAATGAAAACTAATATTTACATTAGATCCCGGAAGTCGCTTCAGTTTGGATCCTGCTTTACTGGTGATGCGTTTGAGGCCATCGGGAATTTCTTCACACAGGAACCGAACCAAGGAAAACATGGTGGGAATTCAAAAACGAATGCATTTTATTTCCGTGATTTCTTTCTTATGATTATAAAAGTTTAATTGTCACGTAGCCTAAAGTACTTGAAGTACTCTGTGAAAACACTAGCAGCAGCAGCAGCGTTGTATTTTCCGAGCAGCCAGTGAAGGCTTCAGGACGCAGGGAGTAGAGGAGGAGGAGGAGGAGGAGGAAGATGATCCTCTTTACTGAGACGGATCCAAACAGCAGCAGGTGGAAGCTGCGGAGGAAACATGGGAAACACGGACAGTAAACTTCTCTTCAGGAAGGCGGTGATTCAGCTCACCACTAAAACTCAGGTGGTTTTTATTCTCATCTTTTATTCTGAGGCAGAGAAACGCAGCGCAGCGTCGTTTGGAAGCTTTGGAGGAGAAGCTGGTTCCAGATGGTGAAACAAACTGGAGCTGAGATCACTGAGGGTCCAGAGAAACACCAGGAACACACGCGTGTGTGCTGAGAAACGATGATTTTCACACACAGATCATTTAATTCACTGTGTGTTAATGTTATTTCTTACATGTGTGAACTTTAAAAGTCTGGAAACAGTAAAGTTTCCTCTGAATTGTAACTTTTTCTTGTTTATTTAGTTAAATAGTCTGAACATAAAACATTTGGCTTCAAAAAGTATATTTTTAAAAATCTATTTATCTTATTTTCTCTCAGATGCACTTAAGGTGGAACTAGGTAAATGCAGAGGATTTGAATCTGTTTGTGGGTTACACCTGAAACAATTAGTCGATTAATGGATCAGCCATTGATAGGAAATCGTTATTTGAGTAGTTGATTAATCAGTTAAATTCACGTTAAGCAGGAAATACATTTGATTTCTTTCACATGTTTAAGGTGAAATCAAACTTGAAGTGGTTCATGATGGATTTTAAGGTTTTAAATTAAGTTTGACCTCTTTCAGTCTCTATAGCTCTGTTCATCTTCCCTTTTATTTTGCTTGGAAATTGTTTTACACCTCTGTGATTGAAATAGGCTTTGTAAATGAATGGTTGAAGGATCCGGCCTCTTCTCTCTCACCCAGGACACGTTTGTGATATTTATCTGAATCCGTTCTTCCGTCTTGTCAGTTCAGCATTTTCCTTTTTCCTGAGCCGAGAACAACATTTCCACCTTTTCTCTCCAAACAAAACTTTGGTGATTGAGACCAAAGAGCAGCAGCTTTAACTCCAGCACCACTCTCCATCTATCTGAGTTGAAAGTTGAGGGTCCAGCCTGCACCTGTACCGATGTTGTACAGTGGAGATTCAAACTGAAATTGTTCTTGATATAAACTAATGATGAATTTGTTTTTTGTGTATCTTCTCCTGCAGCCCGTTGAAGCCACAGACGACGCCTTCTGGGATCAGTTCTGGGCCGACACCTCCACCACCGTGCAGGATGTTTTCGCTCTGGTGCCGGCGGCCGAGATCAGAGCCGTCAGAGAGGAGTCTCCGTCAAACCTGGCAACCCTCTGCTATAAGGTGACTCGCACAGTTGATTATTATTATCACTCCACAGGAATGGTGTCTTCTGTCCAATCCCCAGCAGCCACGTCATAATGTCTTGTCTCCTGGTCGTCCTGGACACTCTGACTCAGAGGAATGCTGCTGTTTGTTGTTCCCACACTTTGAGTGTTAAACGTTGTAAAGGTTAAAGGTCGACGGCAGCCTGCTCTGTTTCTGTCGTCGAGGATGTCTCTAAAATAACCGTTGAGTTTCTCAGAGCCTTCAAAGAACGTCCCTCTCAACTTCTTCTGCAGCCTCGCGGTCTAACACCTGTTCTTTGTGTCCTCAGGCCGTGGAGAGGTTAGTCCAGGGTGCGGACTCAGGCTGCCCCTCGGAGAAGGAGCGCCACATCATCCTGAACTGCACCCGCCTGCTCACCCGCATCCTGCCGTACATCTTCGAGGACGCCGACTGGAGGGGCTTCTTCTGGTCCACCGTGCCCGGAGCCGGCAGAGCTGGGGTACGAGTCCGACCTGATGTAGAGACGCCAGGTCATCCTCAACAAACACTGAGCTCATGAGATCATTTCCTGATTGACCCTCTGCTCAGCAGCAGATCCAGGGATGTTGAGTGCATCAGTAGAAGTAAAATCGCTCCGTCTGATCTTTAGAGTGAAAGATGAACCTGTTGAAGGTCACTGTCCACATCCCCCCTCCCCCTCCCCTCCGTCCTGACGGCTGCTGGTTCTCTGGTTACCAGGTCGACAGGGGACCACAGTCCAAACACTGCCCACATTGTGTGCCCCCCCCCCTTTCTGTGGCCAGTGGTTGAATTAAGGATTGAATGTCTCTAATTAAATTGTGAGCTGCAGGAACAGCCTGATGGTTTGTTTGTAATTGTACGAATTCAGTTTGTGGTTGTGCAGAGAAATAATGTTGATTTGATTTGAAATGAATAAACTGTGTAATTTTTTATTTTTTATTTTCATTCATATAATGAAATAGTTGTTTTTCCACTAGAATTGTTTTCAGTCCCGGTGATTCTCGCTTCACGATTCAAATGTGACCGTGTCATGTGACACCTCTGAACTTGTCTCTCTCTCCTCCAGCGTTTGGACGACGACGGCACCGAAGACGATGAAGATCGGCCGCTGGCTGAGTCGCTGCTGCTGGCCATCACCAACCTTCTCTTCTGCCCAGATTTCACCGTGCAGAGCCACAAGAAGAGCAGCACGGTGAGTCCACTCAGCCTTTACTTTAGCAGCTGCGACACAGTGGCAGTATCTACAGTCACATCTGATGGAGCAGCTGCAACAGTCCACCCGAGGGTGACAAGTCTGGTTGAGGCGTGTGATGTTCCCACAACAACAATTCTAAACTTTTGTTGGTGAAAATAATTTTATAATTTCCTGAAGTGTCGCAGTTGCCCCATTAGATTACATCGTAGCCAGTGCACAGTTATAAGTATAGGACCCAGTTCGAAAGATAATGTTTGTGAATGAAAACGTTTTTTCCGCAGTTAAATGATTCAGAAAAAAAAAAAAAATTAGATTTTATGTTTAAAAATTATATTTAGAAATGTATCAGAAACTTGATTCCATAATTATGTCATCAACCCCCAGAAATCCATTTCTGATTCTGAGCTAAAACTTTTAGTTTTAGTGGATCAGTGTGAAAACATCCAGATGTGAGCAGCAGCCACACACTGGCCAATGTTCAGGATTTAATGACGGAGACTCGTGAAATCGATGCCTCAGGTTTTGTGTCTCTCCAAATAGAAAATAAAATAAAACAAGCATGATCTTGTTTACTTTCTTTTCTCCCTGAAGCCACAACAGTGTCAGTTCTTCGCCGTTCGTATTAACTGAGCTGAGGACGTGTTGTTCAGCCCCGAGCGTCTTTCTCTCCGTCACACAAGCTTCTCTCAGGCAGCAGCTTAAGTTAATGAGTGACTCTGCACGTGACCGAGACGGAGGAGTGGCCATGTTTGTTAACTGGGCTGAGAGGAACAGGGCGGACGCCTTTTAGAGCAAACACCTGAGAGGGAGGTGAGAGGAAACAGCTGCACGGCAACAACCTCAGACCACCGCTTACTCCCCACAGGAAGTCAAACTCAGCAGAGCCTGGGGGGGGGGGGATTGTGGATGACGACCAGTGGCTGTTCCCTCAACGCTGGTGGAATTAGAAAATAAAACACTGAGAGTCTCCTGCGCCTCAGATCACTGCTCCTGGGTCTGTGAACTCTGGTCGTGGCCCGATGCCCTTCACTGTCACTTTTCTGCCGAGGAACAATGGTGGCACGTAATCGCTTCTATTCGTGAGGCTGTGGTTATCTGTGCCGAGGTGTCGCACACTGATACTGTCAGCAGAGCTCGTGTTGACTCACATGGTGGAAGTGTGTGAGAACACAGACCTGCAGCTCCAGCTGAAGAAAGATCCAGAGAATGAAAAACTTTCAGTCCAACAGTTTAAAGCAGAAACATCAACGGAAGCTGTTGTTTAAAAACTCCATTTAACATTTCATTTTCACCAATGATTTTGTTTGTTGGTTTTATTTTCAAGCAGGATTTCACAGAATTAACTCAATGGGTTCACATGAGACTTGGTTCAGTGAAGAACTTGTTAAATGTTGGTGCAGCTCTGGATCAGGGGACAGATTCACAGATTTTAGTTTTCTTTCTTTAACATTTCGAGATAAGACCCATATTTCCCAAAGAATAATTCTATGATCTTGGTACAAAACAAATGTTGAGGGGACTGATCTTTAAGAGCGGGACTGTCGGGCCCTTGCGGAGGTGAAGGCTCCACTGACTGACTCTTGTCTCTGCTGCAGGACACAGCGGAGGACGTCCGCTCCATCGACAGCTGTGAGTACATCTGGGAGGCTGGAGTCGGCTTCGCTCAGGCTCCTCCTCTCAACTACGTCCATGACCTCAACAGGTGAGACTGCAGCAGCTTCAGCAGCTTCAGCAGCTTCAGCAGCTTCAGCAGCTTCAGGAGCTTCAGCAGCTTCAGGAGCTTCGGAGCTTCAGCAGCTTCAGGAGATCAGCTCCTCTGCTTCTCGTGTCTGTTTCCGCTGTGTTGTCACTTCATGTAAAAACAACTCGTAACCACTTTAAAATTCAGATCAGTTCACCACTTCCTGTCACCGACACACATTTACACCATTTCCTTTTTTGCACAAGCCACAAAAAAGTGAAACTTACTTTCTTTACCTACAACTGATAATGTTTTGATAATGCTTTGCCTCTAGGTGGCAGTATAGACACATGATTTTAAAGGGTCATGACCTGAAAGTCACTTGGAATAAAAACTTCTGTCAAACGATGCAGTGTGAAGGTTTTGACCACTAGAGGTGCTATGGAGCCATGTTGTCTTTGCATCTCGTGCTCTGCAGCTATATGACGAACAATCACAATAAACTTTATTTGTTTAACACGTTTCATGCAGCTCAAAGTGCTTTAACAAAACATGTGACAATGCAGTGAACAAATACGCTGACATCCTCCCCTCTAAACATTGTTAAAAGCAGATCCACTTTATTATTTCTTCTTATTATTATAGTATGTGTATAGAGGATTGTTTATTCTTGACTTGTCTCCTCATCATCTCCTCCTGGTTGTTCAGGACGGAGCTGCTGAAGTTGCTCCTCGCCTGTTTCTCTGAGGCCATGTACCTTTCCCCGTCCTCTGAAAGTAGAACCCTCAACCCCTGGGTCACGTTTTTCTGCTCCGTGGAAAACAGGTAACACACACACACACACACACACACACACACACGCGTCAGCCCCTGCTATGTAATTACCTCCACTGGACACATGGAAAACTGTGATAGGCGACCATGCGTGGCGTCTCGTACTCACTGACCTCCACGAGTCTTTCTCGCAGACACGCCCTGCCTCTGTTCACCTCCCTGCTCAACGTGGTGTGCGGCTACGACCCCGTGGGTTACGGCATTCCGTACAACCACCTGCTCTTCTCTGACTACCGGGAGCAGCTGGTGGAACAGGCCGTCCAGATCCTTATCGTCACCCTGGAGCACGAAGCTGGGTCGTCCGCCGGCGCCGCCCTCCAGGCCCTGGATGCCACCGCAGCCCCCGCAGCTGAGGAGGAGCAGGAGGTACGAGGGATGAACCCACGAGTTCATTTAAATGAATAATAATCAAAACTCTGATACTGATTCAGATCTTCTTTCAGCCTGCAGGACCTGATAACCTCTTCGTGAATTATCTCTCCAGGATCCACAGAGAAGAGGTAGAGTCATGGCGAACCACTGATCACTGAGCAGAGTCGTACCGCCGGGTGTTTTAATTCTCTGTGTTTTATCAGGACCTGGGCTTCATCCTGAAAGGTCTGGCTCGACTGCTCAATAATCCTCTGGTCCAGACGTACCTGCCTCGTTCCGCCAAGAAGATCCAGTTCCACCAGGAGCTGCTGATCCTCTTCTGGAAGTTCTGCGACTTCAACAAGGTGCGAGGAGCTCGGACGTTCTACAAATGTTGAAGCACTTTACTTTAGAAGAATGAGGTTTATGAAACTTTGGGTTTTTATTGATATTTGACTGAATGTGGTTCATGTGGTTTTGACTCAAAATTAGTATTTGTGATCTATTTAATTGATGAATATTGATTCAACACAAATATGTTTGAAGCCGACTGTGTTTTTTTTGTTGTTTTAGAAATTCCTGTTCTTTGTGCTGAAGAGCAGTGATGTGTTGGACATGCTGGTTCCCATCCTGTTCTACCTGAACGATGCCAGAGCGGATCAGTGTGAGTCATCGCCTCCACGAGAAGGATTCAAGATAATACTGTTTGTAATGCGACCGTAAACCTTTATTGGAAACTTCATGGTGTGTGTGTGTGTGTGTGTGTGTGCACAGCTCGTGTCGGCCTCATGCACATCGGTGTGTTCATCCTCCTGCTGCTGAGTGGAGAGAGAAACTTTGGTGTTCGTCTGAACAAGCCGTACACGCTCCGTGTTCCCATGGACATTCCTGTTTTTACAGGAAACCACGCCGACCTGCTCATCGTGGTGAGTTCGTTAAAATCAGCTCTCGATAATAAAACAAATTCAACCAATTGAATATGTTTGTGGCAGATGAGCTCATTGTGTTTAGAAAGAAAACAAAGATCATTGATTTCCAGGTCATGATATGATTTGTTTGTTGATTTGTTTGTTGGTTTGTTTGTTATTCATGATTCTTCTCTTTCCTTTTGAATGTGCAGGTCTTTCACAAAGTCTTCACCAATGGTCACCAGCGTCTGCAGCCGCTCTTCGACTGTCTGCTCACCATCATAGTGAACAGTAAGTATCACACGTGCAATATCCCCCCCTGGTGGATAAATAGAAGAACTGCCAACTGCTCTGTCTCCACAATGTTTTTCAGAGTCAGAAAAACTTTATGAGCTCTGAAGGAAAATAATGATAATAACTTTTATTTGTTTAGCACTTATCAAACGGGTGCTTCACGAAATATATTTTAAAAATGGATAGAAAATCAAAGGTGAGCAGATATCAGGGACATATTCAATTTCTGAATGAAGATCTTAAAAGTTTCAGATGCACCAAACTGGAAATTAAGAAGAATATATTAATAATAATAAATAAACTGTTAGTAAATGGTCGATTGTACCAACCTCCACAGTTTCACCTTATCTGAAGAGTCTGTCCATGGTGGCGGCCAACAAGCTGCTCCACCTCCTGGAGGCCTTCTCCACACCCTGGTTCCTCTTCTCCTCCACGCAGAACCACCACCTGGTCTTCTTTCTGCTGGAGGTCTTGAACAACATCATCCAGTATCAGTTTGATGGTGAGAACATATTTGACCTCAGCTACACAACACATTGCCGCAACGTTACGATGCCTAACTGCAGAACCTGAATCTCCCCCCCCCCCCCCCCCCCGTCAGGGAACTGTAACCTGGTGTACGCCATCATCCGCAAGCGAAACGTCTTCCACCATTTGGCCAACCTGCCGTCTGACGCGGCGTCCATTCAGAAGGCCCTGCAGAAGAAGAAGAGTTCGTCCAGGGTCTCCAGGACCAACTCGACAGAGAGCGAGTCCATGGAGGGCTCCACACCGGCTGTACCTGCAGAGCCCGGCACACTCAAAACAAGCCTAGAGGCCACTCCAGGTATGACGCTTGATGGTAACTGACTTTATTTCATGTAAAATAATAAATCATCAAGTCACAAACTGCGACAAATATTCAAAAATATCCAGTGGACAAAGATAGTTCAAAGCTTTTTTAATTTTTTCAGTTGTTCTTCAGCGGAAACAGATTCTCTTGTGTCCTGCAGGAATCGATAAGATAACGGAGAAGTCCCAGGTGAGTGAGAACGGCACCATGGTCGCTGTCCCACATTCGGACTCTCCGCAGGCGGCTGCAGACAACAGTGCGACGGCCGGAGCCAGCGACACAGAGTCCAACTCAGAGAGAGACCACAAGGTGAACGATGAGATCACATCGCTGTGACTGTTTTTGTCTTTTTATCGATTCCTGCAGCTAAACTGACTCTTTTGCTCGTTTTCATCGTGTTGTCAGATCTTCAACTCAGAGTACGAATCAGTGAGGAGTCGCTTGTCATCGGCGTCCGGCAGCGCTAATCCAGACTGGGTTCGTAGAAGTTTTATCTGTTCACGCAGTTACTCTGGAAGGAATCGTGCACTCTGATTGGTTGTGCGTCCTCAGGTGTTGTCGTGGAAGGCGAAGCTTCCTCTGCAGACCATCATGCGGCTGCTGCAGGTGCTGGTTCCTCAGGTGGAGAAGATTTGCATCGACAAGTAAGAAACTTTAAAATACTAATATACAAACTGCTCTCACTGCTACAGTTATTATAACAGGAATAATAATTAAGTTTGTTTATAATTGTGATGAGTCGCACTCAGAGATATGATCGGTAAAGATCGTTCTGATCTTTAATCTGTCACGTCAGTTTGTTCTGGATGAGATCGGAGCTTTTGTTTTTTGCAGGGGTTTGACAGACGAGTCAGAAATCCTGAAGTTCCTTCAGCACGGGACGCTCGTCGGCCTCCTGCCCATCCCTCATCCTATCCTCATCAGAAAGTACCAGGCCAACGCCGGCACGGCCATGTGGTTCCGCACGTACACGTGGGGAGTCATTTACTTACGGTAGGAGAACGGAAGAAGAGCCTGAACGAGTTGTTTTGTTTCTTTCTGGAAAATCACGTCTGTTGAAAATGTTTTTCACAGTGTCTTGTTTTTTCCTCTCTGACTCTGTTGCTATAGCAACTTGGATCCTCCAATCTGGTACGACACGGACATAAGGCTGTTTGATATCCAGAGGATTTAGAGGAGTCGCTGGGGACGACTGGCCGACGCCCTCACACCTCAGCTCCGATCACTGAGCGTATCAAAACTTTATTGATGTTTTTAAAGACAACAAGCAGCGACAACCTTCCTCTTGAAAAACTGAATCGTTCAACACGAGTCAGTTCCTGGTTTTGAGGCGGAGTCTGTATCGTAAGCAGATGCAGCGGAATCGATGCCAAATGTAACATATGTGATTTATTGAAAATTCAATTCTTCATTTTGCCGAAAGATAAGTTCTGCGTTCAGAGGTGCAATGAGGTGTTTCTGCACGAAGGTTTGTGTTTTGTGTTTTTGTACAGAACTGTTTTCTGTTGATCTTTGAAAATCCTCACGTGTGTATAAATGAGGACGAAGGAACCTGACAGACTGAAACTTTGCTCTCTGCGCTGAAAGGAAACAAAACATTGTCCGAGAAGGAAACGGAAAATGTTTTAAGTAAGAAACTTTGACATGTGAATGTGACATATTTGATTCTGTCAGAATTTGAAAAATCAGTTTAATCTCACAGGAAATGATTTGATTAAACACGTGTGTTATAATTCAACAGATTCTGCAGAGATACAATGATTGTGATATACATTTTAAGATCTTTGCTATTTTCTCCTCTACTACTTAACATTTCATATGTTGTGCTTTTATCTAACAGCTGCTTTTACTTTACAG